AAACATTTTTAATCAGCTTTTGTTTTGTTCTTTGGATCAGGAGCATTAAAAAAGAAGCTTTTGACTAATTAAAATTGCATTTGTTATATCCATTTATATTCTTCAATGGCAGACTTGATTTAAGGTTATGAAAATGCATTAGTGCCTGAGGCAGGCAGTTTGTTTTTAAATAGATCTATACATGTTGCATATCTGTCCTACTGCCTTTCTGTAGGTGACTGGTACTGATTTCCTAATGTATTCTGGCAGCATTACTCCAGGTGAAAGAAAGCAAAAGCTGACGTGAACTGTGGTTGATGACTGGCTTCAGGCATTTAATTTTTACCTAAGGCTAAACAGAACCTCTTCTTGCTGAAACCCCATTTTTGCTCTCATGAAAACCTCATTAGTGGTGTGAACTGTCCATTACGAGCCAAGAGATTTGGATACCCATCCCTGTATCCATTATCTTATGTTTGCCAAAAACCTGTTGTCTTACTATTTTCTTCTGAGCAGACTGGTCCATCCATCTCTTCTGGGTCATTTATAAGACATACCACAGACTGTCTTTCAGTTTTTTGTACCTTCTCAAGAATAGATGGGAGATTTTTCATCTGATATGAACAACTCTAAAATGCAAGTGGTATATGTGCCTCCTCTTTCTTGCCACAGTAAATAGTGATTACTGCTTCTTTCTGGGAGTTCCAGTTAACTAAATGCATTCATTGCTCAGGCCATGCATTTGTATATCAAAGGGATGGAGCACCAGGCATACTGTGGCCTGTTCACTCTGTATGTTGTGCTCTGGTCAAAATCCATGTTTTTTTTCCCTAACTAGAAGTTACTTGCCAGTGCTATTGCTCTTCTTCTGTTGCATTCAAACTCCAGTGCTCACTCAAGTGTCAGAAAACCACAGCATGAACTTTTGTCACCTCTTTTTGCATAAACAGTGAGCTAACCTGAGGTTCTTCAAGTTCTTCTGCCCTTGGGGCTTACTCTGATATTCCTCTGTTTCCTGACCAAGAACACTTGCTCTTGGGCAGCTCCTAGTTTTCAGTTTCTCATTAGCTATTCTGACCCTTTAGGAGATAAAAACTTCTCAAACCCTTAAAAAGGTTGTAATGGAATTTTAAATTAAGTGCTGGCAAGGAGCAGAAGATTAACAGTGACATCGTTATCAGTGCTAGAAACAAGAGACCTAAAAATTAATGCTTTGCTGATTGCTAGGAAAGTCTACAGAAAAAGCTAGCTAGCTGGGTACAAAATATCTATTCAGAGTCCCAGACATGGTCCTACATTAAGTGAAAACTTGTCTGAATGACAGGTTGTTCAATGCCTGTGGGGCTGTCAGTGGTGGATGTGTCTCAGGAGTCCAAGTTCCTTTTTCTCCAAGAAAGAGGAATAAGCCTCTGTTGGCAACTCAAGACAGGACTGTCTGATTGTCCCAGAACACAGCTAGGGAGTATCATGGGATAAAATGGCCCTCTGCTATACTTGGAAAAAGTAGGCAAGAATAATGAGTTAGCTTAAGCTTGGGAGAGCAGGCTGTGTAGGGGTCATGAGGAACGTGTGCTGGTTTTTCTTTCGGCTTACATTTAAAAGTAAAATCAAAGTCTAGGTGACTTGCAAGCATAGCTACAGGTTTCCATGTTGTGGAGTTACGTGCTGGTGTTTTATGCAAGATCAGCTATTCATACATCATACTAAACTTCATTACAAAATTAGGTTTTGGTTCATTATTTTACCTTTCCTCCCACTGACTTTTCCCTCAGCATCATCATACTCTTGGTGAAAGAGCATTCCCTTCATCTGTCCTTTACTGAGTCTTTTCTATCATTTTCTTCCTTCTGTACATTGCGGAGAGGAGATGAATGCATTCTCAGAAGCTGACTTTGGCCTATGGAGTGGAGTGAGACTCATCTGCTCTCAGCGCAGTTGAAGACAACCATCTTCAGTAGAACTTTAATGGTAGTTGTTAGTGTCTTTGCTCAGTAAAGTGTAAGGAAACTGGCCTTTCTAGGCTAAGCCTAGCCTGTGGAAATACCCTTGTGTTCTACCCTTTTGTCTCTCTTGAAACATGGAATCCTTCTTTGTATATTTATATTTTAATTCTCTTTTCTAACCCTTTACCTCAATTCATTTAGCTCCCTATGCCATGTCTCTCATTCACCCACTTTGTTGAGTCAAGGGCCAATAAGAACATTATCCAAAAGATCAAAGTGGGCAAGTTCTTCCTTCATCTCTGTGCCGATGCTGCTGAGAGTGCCCTCCCTCCTTGCTTTTAAAGGGAATATATTTATTACTGCTCCTATTAAAAGCCAAGGAAGGAGTTCTTTCCCTCCTTCAAGGGTCAGATGACTAGATATTCAGTCAGACTACAAGTTATCATTTGCAAATCGCTGAGCATTGTCTGCCTGAGACTGAAAAAGAAAAAGAGAATGGAGCACAGGTCAGCTGCTTCTGTAGATCAGCGGTGGTTGCATGGACAAAAACCACGTCAGTGTAGCTCTCCTTTCCTTGCCACCTGTACAAGTGTCTGATCCACCAGGAATTTGCCCATGAGCACCATCTGGGCTTCTTCCCAACCAACTTTAAGGTGTAAAAACAGAAAAGAAACGGTTGATCTGAACCTGCCCAAACTGCACCAATTTATGAAAGTTCTAGTGCAACCTTAGTGGTAAATCATTCTCAACATCAGTTTTGAAGTCACTCGTGCAAAGCTAGTCAAAATGCCTGTGACCTGAGCCTTGCTAAGTCTGGAATAATCCATAAAGCCATTCCTCTCATGAAAGGAACACCCTCTCTGTTAGGAATATGACCCTGACAGAGGTCTTATCTTCTCCTCTGGCAGATAACCAGGGATGGCACTCCTTGACTGTTTCCCCACTAGCAAATAGAGGGTTGCAAGCTTCATCTGCCTTTGAAGAACACTCTGAAGCTCACTTTGTTCACGTTAGTACTTTGTATTTCCTGGGCTGAAGGAATTACAGAACCCTAATAGTAATCGCTGTTCCTGCAGCCATCACTGTTGCTTTTACTTGCTGCTTCGTGTCTCAGATGGGCTGTACTTCAGAATTAAATGCCCTGAGTCTTGCTTCCTTCCCTCTTCTAAGCTGCTTTTGCCCATTCTTAATTCAAGCAGCTGTAGTTTTACATTTCCCAGGTACGTTAAATATCTTCCTCTTTCTGTAACTGTCTTTTACAGCAAAATAAATTCAGTAAAATGAAACCAAAATCCCAAACTGAATTTAATGCAGTTTTATGAGCAAATCAAGCTTTGTACCTTCTGTTAATTCAGGAAAAGAGATAGCATGGTGTTGCATGGGATTGGTGCACTTTTTACATGTGAACATTGGCAAAGTGCTTACTTGACCTTAAATTGACCCTGAAATAAAGGGAACAGCTAAAGCTAAATGTATAAAAAACAGGAAGAGAAAGACTGCCTTGGCCAGTACGAGTTAGTCAGAATGATTTGTTGGACTCTGCTTCTCAGTACATGGATTAACCTAACAAATGTACTATTACTGATTACTATGTCCCTGTGGATCTTTACTTGCATATAATACCCTTTGAGAAAGCAAAAAAAATGCTAAAACCCAGCAATAAAAAAGAATCTTGCCTCTAATAATAATAATACAGAAATAGTCAATTTCTCCTGGCATAACAGTATTTTACTTATTTCAGCTATGGTCCAGAGGGCCAATCGTACAAATACTTGAACATATGAGTCGCTTCACTGCTATGAGTAAGTTTATTGAAGCTGACTGAGTTGCTCGTGTGAGTAAATGATTCATGGATAAGTCCCTGTAGCATTAGCCCCCAGTGCATTACTTCATTTGTTTAAAGTTTAAGACTCTCCCCTCCCAGCACTGTGTGCGGAGGGTAGTTTTCCATCATCTACAAAGCTGGGTGCCTTGCTTGGAATACTGCAAAGTGAACTTCATTTGTGTATTTTATTGTTTCTGTTCTTTCAGGTCCGTTGAGGTCTATAATGAAAGATCTGCATTCAGATGATAATGAAGATGAATCAGAGGAAGCAGATGAGAATGACAATGATTCTGAGTTGGAACGACCTGCAAATACACGAGGAGGAAGCAGGAGTCGCAGGTGAGTGTCTTGCGATTGCAAGTAGCCTGGTGGCCAAGATATTGTGCTTGTTAGTAATGGGGTGAGGTCTAATGTTCTCAGTGCTGTGTAGCAAAAGGGCAGAGAATTCAGACTCTCTTTTTAAAGCATATGCATGTAAAAGTGCCTCTTCTAAAAACTATCAGAATTGGCCATTCCCAATACAAACTCTTTCTGTACTAATCCATATGGTTATGATGATCCTCATTCATTTGACTTTCCTTGATTTCATGCCATTGGGACTTCAGGGGAGTAGTCATAATTACTCTCTGGCATAAATGAGATAAATTAAGTGCTTCAGTTGCTGGAGGAGTTATTCGATAAATGGTGTCTCATTTTCAAGATCTCTCTGCTTACCAGTTTTAGATTAGGTTCTTAAATCGGATCAGAATCAATGCAATTTGAATTCCAAGTGATTTCTGTGCTGCATGCAGTAGGTAGTGTGTAAAAACGCAGACAGAAGGTAGAGCAAGCATCTGTCACAGAAATTACTTTTTAAAAAAATGCTTCTGCATCCTAGCTGCAACCTTAAGAGGGTGTTCCAAAATTCATCTATTCTTTGGGCAGCTTGAAGCTCCATCTGAATGTTGTTGAAGGTTTTGAAAAAACTCAAACAGTCTCTCTCAGGCCTTTTCATAGTGGGTTCTTTATCTGATCCACACAGTTTTGCTGTGAGTGCACAGCACCTGAGTGCCAGTGTCAGCTGCTGCTTAAATGGGAAAGTAATAGGAAAATATTAATGAATGTCGGATCTTTCCCTGGTGGATTTTAGCAGCTGGAATCAAGGAGAAAAAGACCAAGATGACAAGCAGTTTGAGAATTTGTTCATGTCAGTGATTGTACAAAGGATTGTCTCAAGCTCAGCTTGTCTCTATGTGGAGGTTTTGTTTCAGTTTTTTAACAAAACCTTAAGGCTAACGTTTCTCTACCTTCTTTTTGTCCCAAGTAACTTTTTTTTTTCTTCAAACAAGTCAATATTCCCTGTTGTTCCTAAGTAAATGAATGGTGAGACTGACTAGGAGCCGAGCTTTTTCATGTGGCCTCTCCCGAGATACTACATTTTTAAACTTTAGCCAGGAAAAAGAGGGTTATTTATGATGAGAAACAAGGAACTTTTCAGTGAAGCACTTGTCCGAGTGGGAAGTACAGCTGTTTAGAAAGCTTTTGGAAGAGCAGAGAAGTATCTGTGCAGAACATTTTCCTCCTTCATGTGGCTATGAACCAAGATACAGACTTGCTCCAGGAATGTTGGGAACAGCAGTTTAGTGTTCTAAATATTTAACCGTTTCCATAATGTTAGCTGCTGTTAAACAAACATGTCATCTTAGCCAAGTGTAGGCAGGCAGCCTCGTTCTCCATGCTATGCAGAGGTTTTTCCAGAGTGTGGCTCTGCTCGGATGCCTCTCTTCCACGTGACCCTGATTAATGACAGCTTGCTTAGCGAGGGGTCATTCTTAGTGTCCTGCCTCAATGTGCAAGCTTGGTTCACCCCTGTTAGCAGCCCTTTGTCTGTAGGTGTAATCTCCTGGCTCTGTTTTTCCATAGGGTTAGTCTGAGTGATGGCAGTGACAGTGACAGCAGTTCAGCTTCCTCACCACTACATCATGAACCAGGACCACCTCTAATGAAAACCAGCAACAACCAGGTAAAGTCAGGATTTGTAAATGCAGTCCTGGGGAGCTGATATGACGTTCTGATTAGTTCAGAGCAGTTACTTAGTCTGTAAGCTGACATAAGAGCTTTTTACTCAGGAGAAGAAGTATTTGGTTTAGCAAATACTGTAGACCAAAGTAATGTTTTCATCAATATTTTAAGAAATGTGTCCTTTTTGTATGAATTAGCTTTTTAAGGTAAACAATGCAACCTGGCTTTACAGCATCAGTCGTACAATTAATACAGGTTTGGGTTTGTATTAGCTGCAGACACAGTTCATATCAAGAGGCTCATTCTCAGGAGTTCATTTATTCGTCTCTTCCCCTCTCACCCCAGCAGTGTTTATCTCGAAGACACAATATTTTTTACTTCTCTGGAAGATGCAGTAGTTTTTCCTGCACTATCAGAGTATTTGTTCCATATCTGTAGGAGCTAACATTGTTATTATTTTTGAGGTAGGAAAGTAGAGTAGTTCTGTTTTTCAGAGACAAGAATTTAAATAACCTAGAGCTACAAAATACATCAGGGACAAATGAAAATTAGAGTTTGGGAGTTACTTCATTCCCAGTCAGCAATAAAGTAAGGTTCTCTAAATATAAGTTGATATATAAATATAAGTTGGTCTGTACAAAAGTTACAAGTTCTTGAGAGAGAGTCTTTTGGGAAAGAAGACTATAAAAGCAAACTATAAAGATGAAGAATATTGCATTTACTTGGAGACACAAGCAGAAGAAAAATAAAACACGTACCTATGGCTTGTTGTTTAATGAAGACTAACTTCTACAGAGGCAACGTAATTGTTACGTAATTGTAAGTCTCAATATCAGCAGCCCACTCAGTCACATCTTTCATGTTTCTTTCCCCTTCAGTGATGTAACAGAAGGTCTATCTGCGCATTAAGACACTCCAAACAATTGCAGTGTGCTAGCTAAAATTGAATGTTACATACCTTCTTCCATTTTTATAATTGAGCTCAATTTTACAATCAAGCTGAAACAGAAGTTGAGGGAAGCATTAGGAGAATTCAAATTGTATGGACCATAGCCACATTTGAAATCTCTGCTTGGTAGCATAGTGCTGCTTGCCAGGGTGATGCTTTTGACTAATGAAATCAGCCTTGTGTTGACTAAGTCCATTCATAGAAGTAAAGAGCTAAGACAGAGTTAATATTTCTATAAGCTTCCTCAGTGCCGTGTCTCACATAAACAAGAGTGCTTAAGATGTTGGATTTCAACTACGCATCAAGAGCACTGTAAGGAAGCCACTTTTTCAAATATACTGTCCCTTTGCTAAGGTTCTATTTGAAACCAAGAATTTTCTGTCTTTAAAAACAAGAATAGCGTCTAAAAGGTACTGGATCAATGCTTAGAGGTTTTTTTTTTTTTTTTTTTTTTTTTTTTTTTTTTTTCCCAAAGCAAGACTTGTTCTTTCACTGGCCTTACACAGCAGTGACCCCAGGAGGTGCTGAATTGAAGAACTGGGATTTTTCTTTGGAAAAGTATGTTTTGCTTTCTGACCATGCATCACTCTTAGCTAAGTAAATCCTTAGGTTAACTCAGGTCTGCAGTCCCTTTCTATATATAGGGAAATAGCTGCCTGCCTGCTGTATTCTTACAGTGCTGGTCACCCTGGGGAGCATATATGCAATTTTAGTCACTTATACCAAGGAAAGTAGAAATGAGAGGGAGCTTACAGAAAGCTGTCAGTGAGCCTTCTTGCTATTCTAGAAGACTTGCTTTTACAGGCTTTATTTCCTCGTTTTATTTGCTGAGTTTTGTCCTGTGTGGTTTTGGAGATAATCATTCTAGTGATGTTAGTCTTATTTACAACGAAATGTGAAAGAAAATCTCCCAGCATCTGTGATCATTTATTTTCCTTTGATGTTTTTCAGAAGAACTGATCATATTCCAAGTTAGGAATGACATGGTGATTTTTAACTCTACTTTTAGCTTCAAAAAATGCGTGTTGTATGTGAAAAAATTGGAAGAACAATCAACAGTTCTGTTTCCCACAGTATTCCTCACTTTAGTCCTAAAATTTTCATATTAAGCATGGTGTTCTGCTGCTTGTTAACATGCTCTTCTTGATTGTTTTTCCGTACCGGGTGAAGCATTCTTGGTTTGTATATGTGGTAGTAAATGGCTTTATATGGCACTGAAGGAAGGGTATCATATAAGTGCAAAAGAAATTACCATCAAACACTACTTTTTTTTTTTTTTCAGTTACAACTCATGCATCGTTTCAAAGACTGTTTCAAAATTTCTCTTGTAGAAGAAGAGACAGCATTGGGGAAAAAAAAACAGGAAAAATATAGTGATCATGTGACATTTCAAAGGCACTGGAGAGTACCTCAGGATCATTTTGTATCTGCAAAATCAGACCTCTTATCCTACCAGCATGCAAAAGATACAAAAAAGTGTTGAGGAGGCTTTAAATGACATGAAATTAATTCTTTTAAGGATTAATAATACCAGTATCACCTCATTCAAGCAACACAAAGTGTTGAGGAGGCTTTAAATGACATGAAATTAATTCTTTTAAGGATTAATAATACCAGTATCACCTCATTCAAGCAACACAAAGTGTTGAGGAGGCTTTAAATGACATGAAATTAATTCTTTTAAGGATTAATAATACCAGTATCACCTCATTCAAGCAACACAAAGTGTTGAGGAGGCTTTAAATGACATGAAATTAATTCTTTTAAGGATTAATAATACCAGTATCACCTCATTCAAGCAACTTAGCATTTTCTGCTGTAAGCTGCTTTTCCTCCTAAAAAAATGAGTAGGTTAATGGATTAAAGAACGAAAAACTCAGTTTTGAGTTTTGATTACATTTTCTCCAGGTGTTAATTCTTGGTATTATTAACTGATAGCAGAGTTTTTCATATGTAATTGTATACAATGATGCATTTAATTTTTACAGGGTTTTCTTTCTTTTCCAGATTTTAGAAGTGAAAAGTCCAATAAAGCAAAACAAATCTGATAAACAAATAAAGAATGGGGATTGTGATAAGGTAAATGAGAACAAGTTAACAGTAAACTAGCCCAGAATTTGATATTAATGTATTCACTAAACACCAACCTTAGTTACAGAATGAAATATATATATAATCCTTTCTGAGGGCTGTGTGTTAGGAAGGGGCAGTGTGATTTAGCATGTTAACTAGAAGGATACGAAGCAACGGTTACCATCTAACTCTGAGAATAACAGTTTTGTTTAAAATCATGTCAGCTGGCCAAGGGTAAGATCTCTAAGTCCTTGTATGAGTGAACATAGCACAATTTTGCTGTGTGGACAAGTTCCTCTGACGGTTCATATTTTAAAGGTATTAGTGTCAACTTTGTGATAATGTGAGGCAGGAGACCAAAGTTTCAGTATATGTTGCTAGATTTTCAGTGGCTGGATACATATGCTTTTTTGTTTCTTAAGCTGGGTGCTGTATCTCTCTCTGTTTAAAAAGAAAAAAAGGTTTCTGATGTCTCAGGCTGAAGATAAAAGGGTGGAGAGGTGGGACGTGTTTGACATCCCAGCAAGGAGGACAGAGGAATTTACCATTGGATTAATCTTGTTTGATCTTTCTCCCCTTATATGTCCTTGTTGACACAGAAAATTAATTATGTAGCTTTAAAGAAAAAGAGGGATTTGATTGTGAACCTTTGGGTTTGAGTCTTATGTGGAAAGGTGGGAGATGTTTTTTAAAGATGCTGTTTTGGCATCCCCAGTCTGTTTGACACTTTTCGCCACAGTTGAGATACAGAGATTACCTTCTACAGCAAAGGACCACCTGATAGATTTTCATCAGCATGAAGTATCTAAGAAAACCCACAAAAACTTATATCTGGGTTGTATTAAGCTAGAGAAAGCCAGACTACTAAATAAGAAAATTTAGCTCAAAGAAGATTTAAAATAAAATTTCAATTTGTATTGTTTTTGAAGACATCTGAAGTTTTTGAAATACATAGCTATGACTTAATTAAATTTTTTGGGGGGGGGGGGGGATTTGTTTCTAGGCATATCTCGATGAACTAGTAGAGCTCCACAGAAGATTAATGACATTGAGAGAGAGACATGTACTGCAGCAGGTGAGGAGCACTCTCATGCTATATCACAGTGTGCTCATTGAAATTGTGAAGTCACATCTATTTTTTTCCCTTCATCTAATCAGACTTAATGGCCTTCAAGCCTGTATAATCCATATGCAGCCCATTACCACTTTCAGTGTGGCTTAGGGGACTTTTACACATACTTTAAATTGTGTTGTCACACTAAATGACAAATTAAAAAAAAATGCCTACCTGAGCTAAATTTTTCACCAATTCATTGTTATGTTTCTCAACGTACTGTATCAATAATTATGAAAACAGGATGGAAGAATGGATACAGCTGTGCAGCATGACTTGATAAAAATCTTGTTGCTTTTTCCTGAAAATGACCAGTGTTTTCTCAGAAACAATTAAAGATGCCTTCTATGGCAAACAGAAAACATAGAATTCAAAGCAAAACTCACTTTGGGCAAAACCACAATATATTAATTGAGTCTTGCGAAGTCATGGAAGGAGTAAAATATGAAAAAGCGCAAACCAAGAAGGCTCCAAATTTGTTGAAAGGTTATGCAATAGTAAGAACAAAGAATAATATTCTTTGTTTTGGGTGGTATTGTCAGGTGCTATTGGATTACGAACTGTGAAGATTAAACAATAAGCACTGTTAACAAAGCAGATGTAATTGTAGCACAGATGGTTTTATTATGCTTAGTGCAATGATGTGCCAGTTGTGGACATGTTGTAAAGAAGGAAATTTTTACCATTTGTAAGTGACAGCAATCACTCATCAGATTTCCCAACACTTGGCTAAGTGCGTTAAAAATATTTTGTAAGCGCCAGCATTAATCTGTTTATTAGTTCAGGCTCAATATTGTGAGTAAAGATGAGAAAATAATTGAGAGCTCAGTGAAAAGGAAGACTTCGGTTAAGGATATTCTTATTTAAAGAGGAATTTTGATAGCTTTGTCGGATTTCGTAAGTTAATACACTTAAATGCTACTAGATGAGAAAGAGGATTATAGATTCAACTTGAACCCTGTTATTTGCTTGGAAAATATTTCTTAGGATGACAGGAGAACTCTGATTGGAAGGGATTTTGCTAGTCCCAACCCCTGCCCAGAGCAGGCTCAGCCGTGGGGTCAGATCAGGCTGCTCTGACCTTATCCAGTCAGGTTTTTAAAAGCTCCAAGGATGGATACAGCACAGTCTTTCCAGGATGCTGTTCCACTGCTAGACCACCCTCATGGGGAAAAAATGTTTCTTGCTTGTTTTATCTTTGCTTTGCAGAAAAAGTTTTGAAGATGTTTTTCTTTTTCAAAATTTCACATGAAGCCACTTAAGCCCTGTGCTCTGCAGGCTGTCGATATAGCCCCAGTGAAAGCTGGGTTTGGGCCGGACTGTGCAGGCTAGGACGGTCGTGCAGTTCTGTGCTGGTAGCTGGTAACTGGTAACTGCGTAACACAGGCTACAGAGGTCTACCAGCATTCAATGAAAGAGCCAAGTTACTTACCAGTTGTCTGTTAGCCAATCTACACTAGCAAATGGTCTATGCTGTCATAAAACAAATAATGCAGTTTAGTTTTATAAGCCTTTAATCCCTTAATATTCTGCAATTCATTAGTTCGTAGGATTTTATCAGTTTACAGAAATATGTTCACAATATTGAACAGATAACTTGCAGAGAATCAGTAGTTCTCTGCATTATAATTAAACTGTCATCCCATCTTAAATGTCCTTGCTGCTTTGCAGCTGTTTAATTAATGTAAAATACTTCCAGTGACCACAGAAATAAAGAGTACAGCGCTGAGAAAGCTTTTAGGAATGAATGTGAAACTTCTAGACCAAGAAATACAAGTATGTAGAGACTATAGGAAGTGCAAAGGTCAGGAGAGCAAGGGATAAAACTGCAGAAAGGGATGGTGGTTATCGCATGAGAGGAGGGATTGAGTGCAAAAATATGCAACAGAAAACTGTAAATAGCTGCAAGAGTTTTAAAGGCGATGGCAGTGTTGAAGCGGAATGGTGGAGTTCTGCGTTCCTGAGTGGTGATTGTCATCTCTTTAGTTTATGTCAGGGCAGGTAATAATCTCTTGCACATGTCAAAGTCTGCTACCCACAGGGAATACCCTTTTAGGGAATTTTTAAAGAAGGGACTTGCAAGGGAAGAATGAAGGCATCAATCATTCAGAAGCACTGTCTTTTGAAACTTACGCTGATGGATTTGAAAAGGAGAGGACAGGTTTTTCAAACCTCAGTTGTTACCAAGTCTATAGGCGTGACAGCAAACAGGAATGCAGCCCAGTTGGAAATGTGAAAAATGTGCACTAGACAGCACAGGCATAAGGAAGAAATTGAGAGTATGCAGCACTGCTGAAAATTACATTGCTCATGTCCACAAGGTGCTTAAGTTCAGATAGCAACTACCTTCTACGAATTTTCTGCAAGGGGTAGCTTGCAGGTCTTGAAACTGTTAAATGGCCTAAAACCATCCATGAGCTGAAAAATGACTATGTCATTAATTGCACTTTGGCTTCCTTAAACACACACACTCATCTGCTTGTTTAAAGGCAGATAAATAGTTGTACTATGATGGATAATGATGAAACTGAGCTGGAGAGACATTACGTAAAGAGAGATATACATTATAGCAGGAAAAATGGGGTATTTTTGTTCTTTGCAGCCTGAGCTCTTGGAATAAAACATTTTTATGCTGTGTTTTTAATGTTATAACTGTCAGACTTCCTGGCAACTAATCTCAACCTTTTATTCTTTTATTCAAGTATTTCTCAATAGGATAAGGATGTGTATGCTAATACTGTAAGTCATGAATTCCTCATTGACTGGCACACAGGCAGGTGTTTTTCATTGAGTTGTCTGGATTTATCTTTTTATATTCTTGTACACACATTAAAACTTTTGGGGTTCATTTCAGTCTGATTTGCCAGGTGCCCTGACATAGTGGGTATATTTCTTGAGGGGTGGATGATGGATATGTTTAAAATGTTTATATGTCCCTTGGCCTAGAGCTTAAAAGCACAAAGCAGAACCTGATCAATAAAAGTGCTTATCAGTTTCTTAAAATACACAGTGCTGTTTAAAAATGTGTGTTAACATTTTCATGTAATCTTTGTTTCTAAAATGATGTATATTGCTGCATTGGTTATGAGGGGTAGTATTCTTTCACCGTAGCACAAGGAAGCATTAGACAGAATTGTTCAGCATTGCTGCATCTTTCTGGCCTTGGCTTCTGTAAACTTCTTGTGCAGCCATTTATTTATCACACAGTGGATATTTGGAGACCAAGCCTGAGATTAGATTCCTAACTTTACAAAAGGAGGCTGGATTGACTCCTTAGCTCCTCTCTTAGATGAGGCTCAAGAAAGAGCCAAAAATGAGAATGACAAATAACACATATCAGAGTTTCCTTCTGGTAACAATCAGTTTTGTCCCATTTGATTTTTTTTTTTCTCTCATGTTAATTGCAGAATAGTAGGAGATGGAAAAGTGTTACAAGAATCTGTGAATCAACAAGTGGACAAATGAAGTTGGCAATTTTAGATTAAAAATTCCCATATGGAAAAAAAATGAAAGCCAAGAGGCACAGATTTAAATGAAATGTTAATAACAGCAGGATTGTTCCTAAGTGCTTTCAGAGTTTGACAGCTGAAAACCAAATTAAACAGATTTTACTTTTATTTTTTTCCAACCTGGAAAATGGGAGGTGGTTGGAAAGGGAGATTCTTACTGTAACAGGCATTTCCCTCTTATTTTATCTTGTTTCCTTTCTGTTTAATCCACCCTGGGCTGTGTCATTCCATGCCTGACAATACACATGAAGTTATTTCATTTATCATCAACATCTTCTGTGATCTGAGGAGAAAAAACATCTGTTTATATAATGAAATAGGGAGCGGAAAATTACAAAAGATTTAGTTTAAATTCATTGGGTTTTTTTCAAGTTGGTGTATTCCTACCAGATTTGTCCTTTTAAGGTATGCTCTGGAAGCCATGTGTGCATACATCTGTGTCTCCTCCAGCTGTGGAAAAGGAATTGCAGTCAGAGTAATAAAGCTCAAACAAGCAAGGAATACCTAGCAGCAGTGTTTCAGTGGAGGTATATGTGGAAGCCCTAGAACTAAATGGGTTTCAAATTGAAGGATGCAAACAGGACATTGAGCCTAGCCTGAGTGCCACAGAAGGGATAGTTGGAAAGACTGAGCAGAACAGCAATGTTCTGTCCGTCCATGACACTACCCAGAGGCCCGCTTCAGGACATGCTGGCACTGTGTTAGCCCTATCTGACAAATAATGCTTTGGCTTTCCAAGATGCTGAATGTGCTTTTTAGGTAGGCGCACATCCTAGAACTTAACGTATCTACAGTTACTTGTTACAGCAATTCAGTGTTGAGTATGACCACTCTTTAAAAATGTAGACTAAAATTCAGAGACTAAAAATGTCAAAACTGCAGAAAGGCACAAGTTAGATATGTACTGTTGATTTCACAGAATCATAGAATGGTTGAGATTGGAAGAGACCTCTGGAGGTCATCTGGTCCAACCTGCCCTGCTCAAGCAGGGACATGTAGAGCCAGTTGCCCAGGACCGTGTCCAGACGGCTTTCGAATTTCTCCAAGAATGGAGACCCCACAACTCCCCAGGCAACCTGTGCCAGTGCTTGGTCACCCTCACAGAAAAAATGTGTTCAGTGTTGAGTATGACCACTCTTTAAAAATGTAGACTAAAATTCAGAGACTAAAAATGTCAAAACTGCAGAAAGGCACAAGTTAGATATGTACTGTTGATTTCACAGAATCATAGAATGGTTGAGATTGGAAGAGACCTCTGGAGGTCATCTGGTCCAACCTGCCCTGCTCAAGCAGGGACATGTAGAGCCAGTTGCCCAGGACCGTGTCCAGACGGCTTTCGAATTTCTCCAAGAATGGAGACCCCACAACTCCCCAGGCAACCGGTGCCCGTGCTTGTGCACCCTCACAGGAAAAAAATGTGTCTCCTGATGTTCAGAGAGAACCTCCTGTGTTTCGGTTAGTGCCCATTGCCTACTGTCCTGTCACTGGGCACCACTGAAAAGAGCCTGGCTCCATCCTATTTGCAGCTTCCCTTCAGGTATTTGTACACATTGATAAGACCCCCCCCTGACCCTTCTGTTCTCCAGGCTGAAGAGTCCCAGCTCTCTCGCCTTTTCTCATAGGCGAGTTGTTTTAGTCCCTATCCTTCTTAAGAACACCTAACAGCTCTTCTGTTTCCTATTTGAATGAAAGCTGTGATTCCAGATTAAATAGTCACCAGAAGAAGTGATCTTATGCCATTGGTAGGAGTCTTTCATGGTTGATTTGGTTTAAAAAAATGGTGTAAGTCTGTTACTCAAGAAATAACTGCTAGTATGTGAAGTAACAGTTGATGTGAGAGCTCTTGAATACATTTTTTGTTTGACATGGACTAGATCCTATAAGGATTTATTTCTTTCCCTTGCTTGCAGAAAGGCTTATGCCGATTATTTTTCTAAAGTAACCTGCTTAGCAGCTATGCACACAGTAAATATTCCAGACAGAGATCTATCTGGGGTTTTTTTTATTTGTTTGGGCTTGGGTTTGGTTTTTTTTTTTGGTTCCCTCCCCCTCCTGGTGGGATAGAGGAAAGAACCAGAAGGGTAAAAGTGAGAGAACTCACAGGTTGAGATAACAACAGTTTACTAATAATTTTTTCATTAAATATTTAATGAAATAATTATTATAATAACAATTATGATGATGACAATAATAATAATAATAGTGAAAAGGAAAACAAAAAAAACCCCAAAAAATACAGAAAAAAAAATGATGCAACTGCTCACCACCTGCCAACTGATGCCCAGCCAGTCCCCAAGCAGTTATTGCTGCCCCCTAGCCAGCTCCCCAGTTTATATACTGAGCATGATGTCATATGGTATGGAATAGCCCTTTGGCCGGTTTGGATCAGCTGTCCTGACTATGCCCCCTCCCAGCTTCTTGTGCACCTGGCAGAGCATGGGAAGCTTACACCTTGACTGGTGTAAGCACTACTTAGCAACAACTGAAATGACAGTGTGTTATCAACATTATTCTCATACTAAATTCAAAACACAGCACTATACCAGCTACTATGAAGAAAATTAACTCTATCTCAGCCAAAACCAGGACACTTAGAAAATACGCAGATTTTCTTTCAACATTTGAAAAATATTTTCTCAATGGTAATGTTTGCTGGAACAGCAGATGGGTAGGCTGGCATTATGGTCGATGATGATCTTTTAAAAAAAAAAAAAAAAAACAAAAAAAACAAAAAAAACCCAAAACCGAAGAACACAGAGGTACTGTAGTCTGGACCATAGTTCATGTCAGAAAGGAAGTGAGTGATAAGGATAAGGGTTTAACCTACAGGTGTTGAGGCAATTAGGCTAGTTTTATGCCTTTCATGTGATACTTAGTGGCATGTTAATACATCTGGTGGGCATGTAAAACTGCTGAAATTTTCAACTCCATCTTTTCTTTCCTTTCAGATAGTAAATCTTATAGAAGAAACTGGACACTTTCATATCACAAATACAACCTTTGACTTTGATCTGTGCTCACTGGACAAAACCACAGTCCGTAAACTACAGAGTTATCTGGAAACATCTGGAACCTCCTGAGGATTCAGCATCCGGATGCATCAAAAACTGTTTAAATGAAACATTCAGAATGATGCAACCAAAACGGAGGGCAAAAACAAAACAGCTCTCTTCAGCTTTATTTTTCCTTAAAGCCACTCATCCTCTCTTGATAAGGGAGAGGAAAAGTGACAAGACTCAGAGGACCACTCTTCTCAAGAAGAAAATGCTCTGGAAGAGTTTGCCTGGATAGCCTTGAAAAACAAACACACAAAAACAAACAAAAATACTTGGTCTTAATGAATGTGTATGGTATCATGTATCTCTCTCTGTGGTGTTCCAGTCCACAAGATGAATGCATGTTCAACACACTGCCTTATTATGTAACTGATCTATTTATTATTGCATACATGTATTCTAAAGTCAGTGAGTCATTGAATGACACTACCAGATGTTGCAAGTAAGGGGATCCCATGTGTGCTCTTTTGATGCAGTACTATCACAAGCCTAGTAACCTTATTCATGTTAAAATGCCACTTCTTGCTATCTTTCTCTAGTCACTTAAAACACTACAGTCTTGTTTCCACTTCTGCAGTTCCAGGAAACAAGATACAAAGCTGGGGACCAAACAGTGGTCCTATTTTTTGTTTCCCATCTGCTGCAGTGGGTTGGACCACAGCAGGATGGACCGCAGGTCTTTGGCTCTACCCATTTATTGATCTTGACCATGGTAGAAAATGTACCAAATAGGATCATATGACTTGCTGTCTAGCCTTAGTGAATAAACCAGTAGGATGTTATGTATACTGTCCTGAATCCAGCATCTTTTGCAGTCTACATTCTTGTGTCTGTTTTAGTGTTATAAAATTACATATATATGAGTGAGTGTTCTGCAGGATCATCATAAAAGAAGAAATACTGGTCCTGTCTTCTGAGGAAATGTTGTAGAAAATTCTTAAATTGGAGCTATTTATTACTATGAGTTTCAACACTCCTCTGCTGCCAGTGTGTGACTTGCTTTTGTGATACAACTATTTGCGTAACATTTTTGTTTGTTCATATAGTATATGGTCTGCTTAGTTTGTTTTGGGGTTTTGTTTCTGCTTTTGTTGGTTTTTTTTTTTACAACTGCTAAATTAAAACCCTTTATTTGAAAAGAAAAAAAATATGTCATTATACAGTTACGTCGGAATAAATACATATATGGTATTTTGTATATATGTGTGTATACACATATATACACATACCTGTATATATATGTGCACACACATGCATGTATGCTTTTTACACTTTCCAGATTTTTGTCTGTTCAATGACCTGCTTGTGTTTCCAGAAGGATTTCTTGTCTATAAAAATGAGTATTCTTTCATACCATTCATTATTCTTTAAAATCAGAATCCTTGTTTATGCATGATCAAATGAAAGGATGTGTACTTAGTTTCACATCAAAGCTCCATACTGTCATACTGCTGATGGTTTCTTGATGAAATCATCACCTTTCTATTAGAAGTTCAAATCCCTTAATGAAAAGAGAAAATAATTTAAAAAATACTTCTGGATGCACAGGTTTATTCAGGTTTACCAGCCTTAAAAAATGTATGTTGTTTCTAAACAGGCCAGTATTTCATGTGTATGCTAATATGCCACATGTAGTCTCTGTGTAGAGCTGAACAGTAGTATCTGTATGACTTACTGTTTCATGTGCACAGTTTGTGCAGCACTGTAAAACTAAATTCCTGTTGGGGTTATTTCTTATTCATCTGTAAAATCTTAATACTGTTTCTTTAAGTCCAAAGAAAATTTTACACTTTACTCTTTTGGAGACGGTGGGATACGGATTGGGTTGGGAGGCTTTTTTCTTATTTAAAATGTTGTTTGACAACACTCCGCAGGAAGTCCTTCTCAGGCTTCCCAAGAATAAGTGTACTTTTTCAGTAATGTTATGACTCTTATTGACGATTGGCATGAAGCATACTTGAAGCGTTATGTTGTTCTTTTAAGTCCATGTATTAATGTGCAATTGAGGAGGGGAAGGAGGAGTGGAAGTGTAATTTTAAAGTTACTTTTGACTAAGGCAGGTGATGGTGGCGAAGGGAAGGGGTGCATGTGAAGGGGATAAACTTCAATTTTTATTCATTATTTTATATGAAAATGTTTGGAAATCTAAAAGCAACCTTAAAAATGTTTGGTCTACTAGTGTGTGTTCAACTTTCTATCTTTTAGTTATGCCAGATACATAGGGAATTTTGTCCATTTTGATTTTTCTAACTAAGTTTTGTGGTAAAAAATCACTGAGTTTCA